GTTTTAATGGATCGAGGAATGCCCAGGATAGAGAAACAATATAGTAGGTGTTGTATTACATGGGTGGCAGTTTCTCCAGTTATAGGTGAAACAAGCATGTAATGAGAAAAGGTGTCTATGGTAACGTGTAGGTATTTTAATGACCCAAAAAAAAGGATAATGAGTGACATCCATCTGCCAGATGTCATTTGGACGGAGTCCTCGAGGGTTGACTCCAAAATGCGGTACTGGAAGGAGAGGCTCACATGAGGGACAGGTTTTAACAATTTCTCGTGCCTGCTGCTGTTTTATACCATATTGATAACGTAAAACCTGTGCAGCTTGGCGATAAAGAGCATGTGACTGTTGTGCTTGCGAAACAGCAGACAGTCCAATGTGCGTGGGTCGATCTGCAATTGCATTTCCATGAGTCAAAGCACCTGGAAGATTAGAGTGACTGTGAATATGTCCTACAAAACAAGGTGCAGATCGAGAATGTAAAGATGATTGAATAAGACCAAATAACTGTGCAACAAGGATATTAGCAGTGTTGATAACAGGGACACATTCTAAAACAGACAAGGCTTGTACTACATATTGGCTGTCTGAAAACAAATTAAAGGGAACATCAAAGAAAAGAATAAAAGCCTGATGAACAGCATAAAGTTCAGTCTCCTGAGCTGAAGTACTCCTCAATTGCCATACATAAGTTTGATTTGGGGATACTAAAGTAGCTTTTCCATTGGAGCTTCCATCTGAAAATAAAGTAATAGCATTAACAAGGGGGTTCATGCGTATGATTTGAGGAAATGAAAAGGTAACTTTGGAGGCAAATTGAAGAATTTTATCCTTGGGATAATGATGTTGGATTTGACTGGTATAGGATGCTAGAGAAAGAGGAAAATAATCAGTCACATTAAGCAACCATTCAAGCTGTTCAGATGTATAAGGGATTATAATAGAGTGAGGGTCTCTTCCTAAATGCATTATAGACAATTTTCTTCCTTGTATAATCCTTTCTGCAACCAAAGAGGCATAAGTGGGGAGAGCCCTTTTCGGGGAATGCGAACCATGAATCCATGAGAGAACTCCCTGCTGATATAACACACCCGTAGGGGAAAAAGACGTGGGTATGATGATAAGAGACCAGGGAGTGGAATAATCACAATAATGAAGCTGCGCACTTTGAAGAGCCTTATTAACCAGTTCAAGAGCTTTGCGAGCTTCTGCCGTCATTTGCCGGGGTGAACTTGGGTCAGAATCTCCAGCTAATAAGGAAAACAATGGGTGGAGGTCTTGAGTAGTTAACTTTAGAGACGGCCGAATCCAATTAATTTCGCCTAAGAGTTTTTGAAAATCAAGTAATGTACGCAAGTGAGAAGTATTAACAGACAATCGTTGAGGAGAAAAATGCCGTGGATATAAGTGAAAACCTAGATAAGAAAAAGGAGGTGAAGTTTGGACCTTCTAAGGTGCAATGACCAGCCCATTATTTGTTAAATCCTAATGAAGAGAGGAATATACTTGCAAAAGCATCTCAGAATCTTGATGGGCTATTAAAATATCATCCATATAATGAATAATGGTGGCAGGGGCAAATTTAGATCTGGTATTGGCAATGGCTGCATGTACAAACTTTTGACACAAGGTGGGGCTATTAGCCATTTCTTGAGGTAACACGACCCACTCATATCTTTCCATAGGTGAGGACAAATTACAGGAAGGGATACTAAAACAAAACCTCTTACAATCTTTGGGGTGGAGAGGGATAGTATAAAAAAAATCTTTCAAATAAAGAACAATACGATGATGTGCCAGAGGTATTGCCATACGTGACGGAAGCCCAGGCTGAAGAGCTCCCATAGGAAACACAGTATCATTAACTTTTCTAAGGTCTTGTAATAACCTCCATTTTCCTGATTTCTTTTTTATTACAAATATAGGCGAATTCCCGGGGGAGGAGGAAGGTCAGATATGACCACAGACTAACTGTTCTTGCATTAATTGCCTGGCGGCTTGGAGTTTAGCCTCAGGCATGGGCCACTGGTCTACCCATACCGGTGTATCAGATTTCCAATTAATTTTATCAGCATGGATAGCAGGACAATCAGTGACCACTAGGAAAAACACAAGCCCTGTTGATCAACCTTTTGTGGGATGGATAAAGGGTCTTTGATACCTTGATTATTTTTTCCATGCCTGCAAATGGCAATTGACCCATTTGTAACATCTGTTTGGTTACAGTGGGACTTGGACTCCACAAGTACACTCCCATTTGGCTTAGTATGTCTCATCTCCACAAATTTACAGGAAGATTAGGTAAAACATATGGTTGGAATTCTCCAGTATGTCCCTCTAAATCAGCCCAAGATAATATAGAAGAGTATTTAAAAGGAGCAGAGGCTTGACCAATTCCCTGGAGAATGGCAGGGGCAGGATCCAAAGGCCAGTATGAAGGCCAATCTTGTTGTCTTATAACAGAAACATCAGCCCCTGTATCCATTATTCCAAGAAAAGTTTTTCCCTGTATTTTTAGTAAGCATTCTGGCCTTTCATCTTGTACTTGTCGAATAAGAAAAGCCTCAGAGGAGCCACCCCTTGGGTGCCTCGTTTTTTCCTAAGCATCTTTTGTTTTCCTTGAATAAGGGGCAACAATAATAATTGTGTTATACGAGTACCCAGAGGTATGTTAATGACAACTGTATCAGTTTTAGCCATAACTTTAATTTCTCCCTCATAATCTTGATCGATCACTCCAGGAAGTACTATAAGTCCTTTTAAAGTAAACCCATTTCTCCCTAGTAAAAGTCCCCAAGTGTTTGGAAGTAACAGGCCATAAATACCTGTAGGTATCAATTGGACTCCTAGTTCTGGGGTTAATATGATGTGGATGGTGGAACTGAGGTCCAATCCTGCGCTTTCTGGAGTTGCTCTGGAGAGGTCTGAAACGGATTGTTTTGGGGTTGAATTGCCCCGAAGATTTGTTGTCTGGCCTGGGGCTGGCCCCTCTTGGAGTTTCCCTGCTGGGGGGGCGGATAAATTGCCTTCCTTATCTCTTTTAGAATAACATTTATTAGCCCAGTGATCTCCTCTTTTCCAGCATGGACATAACCCTGGGGCTTTCGGCTTTTTATCAATTTTAACCTTATTATTTGTATTATTATCACCTTTTGGAGAATCAGAGCATTGTTTGGCATTATGCCCCATTTTTCCACAATTATAACAACTTTCTGGAGGGCCAGGGGCACGTTTTTTACGTTTGCTATGTTGTATTGGCAAACATTTTTGCAGGGTTTGTCCCTTCAAAGCAGCTGCCATAGACAATCCTTGAATATATCCTGCTCCTATGTCTGCACAAAGTGTGATGTAATCATTTAAAGCGCCCTGTCCCTTCCAGGGTTGAAGAGCTGCTTGGCAGATTGCATTGGCATTTTCAAAAGCCAATTCTTTTACTAAAATATTGTTGGCTTCTTGATCATTTATTAATCGTCCTGCAGCCTGAAGGAGGTGAGAGACAAAGTCCTGGAACGGCTCATCAGGGCCTTGTTTAATCTTGCCTAACTCTCCATTCTTTGATCCTGATTGGGGCAATTTTTCCGTGCTGCTAAAGTGGCCCACCGAATCAAATCATAGGCATAGCCAGGGTAATTTAACTGAGCACCCAGGGCCGCAAAAGCCCCTTTCCCTTGAAGATGATCCATAGAAATTCCATTAGCAATAGCTTTTTATCTAATGCATATCCCATGGTATTCTCTTCATATTCTGATAGCCAAAGAAGATAATCTCCCCCATTCAATATAGCCTTAGCTAATAGCTTCCAATCTTGAGGCGGCAAAGCCTGGCTCACTACTGATTCAAGAATAGACGTAGTAAAAGGAGCAGTAGCTCCGTATTGTGTAGCTGCCATTTATAATTCTTTAATTGTTTTAAAAGTAAGCCCCTCATGTTTATTATGATTGTCATTGTCTCATAACTCTCCTAACTCCTGGGTAAACTTGAAATCCTTCTAAATTTTCGCCTTGTTTTCTAGCTTCTTGAAGTGCACGTTGTAAAGGGGATATCGCTGAAGGTGCAACAGGACAGTATCGGCACAGGTGGGGGCAATAAAGGCATTGGTCTAAATCCTACTCGAGCAACAAGAGGTGTGGTAGAAGTTTCATATTGATCAAAGAAAGGCCTTGCCAATGAAGAAGTACTACAACTTTTATGTTGTTGATCCCTTAAATTAGCCTCAGATAACTTTTGAATCTGCTTAGCCATATCAGACAATTCTTTTTTAAAGGTTTTAATCACCTTTTCTAGGCCCTACATTGGTTCTTTACATTGTGGATTTGTCTGATCTTGAAGCATGAAAGCCTCATGTTGATGCTCATATTGAGAGGCTTCACGCTCTAACTCTTCTCATTCTTTCGGACCTAATTCATTTGAATCTGAATCAGTTTCTCCATCAGGGTTATTGACTTGTAAATCATCAGGCCTATTGTTTATTTTGTTAGCCATAGGGAGGTCGGGCTGCTCATAACAAGGCAGCTCAGAGAGCAGTGGAGGTGCAGAGGGCAGCAGGGGGGGTATAAGGAGGATGCCACATTCTCTGAGGATTTGGTTTTTCTTATAAAACTTTTTTGAGTTCTTTTTTCCCATTTACTAGACTCAGAGTCCCCTTTTAAACAGTCCTTAATTAGAGTCCAAATCGGAAACACATCCACAGGAACCTTCTCAGGGCCCCAAGCACAATAATAATCTTTAATCTTTTCTCCTACTGTTTTCCAGGTCTCAACATTAACCGTTCCCTGTTCGGGAAACCAGGGGCAAACCTGATGCACAAAATCAACAAACCGATGAATTTGAAGCTTAGCTACAGGAATGCCCCTACTCTATAACAAAGAGGAAATAACTTGTTCAAAAAGTTCCCGTTCTGATGATGGGGAGTTACCCATTCTCAATCCCTGCCTATATGCCACTCCCTGCTACTTTCAGTTTTCACTTACCCGGGTCATTTGTAACAACGGTCTTCTCGCAACTCCCGATTCTCCTTCCACTGGAAAAATGCTCCGAATGCTTATATTCCAAGCCCCAAGTTCGGGTGCCAGATGCCAGGTGCCGCGGCCAGCGCGGGGAAGGAGGCAGGTGAGAGACTGAAGAAACAGGGAGACCAGTTGCTCAGGAGGCAAAAGGCAATTTATTGAAGGACTACAGAGTTTTTATAATGTTTCAAAATGAAGAGCAGTACAAGTCACTTCAGGACACATTCTTGTGCACACAGCAAAGGTAAGCATGTTCTTGGGCCCATGAGAAACTTCTATTGTTTATGTTATGAAGCTATTCCCAGGTTAGTATCAGCACGATGCTTTGTCTAGAAGGCTGAGGTTACTACAGGATGAGGAACTGGTTGAGGTCCAGCTTCAGTGTGTGGTTTCCCACACCCGTTCACTGCCAGACCCTGGCTCCCGCTCCTAACAGCTATTGATATAGCTGGGTTTCTCTCCAAGAGAAAAATGACATATAACATTAGGTAACTAAAGAAATTTCTACTGTCTCAAAAATGTCACATCTTATCTTTCCCATCTGTTATAGTCAGGGTAGGCGAGGAAAGAGACTTAACATGGAACTTATAATTGATAAGATGATTTAAAAATATTTATCCCAGAATGTCAGGTTTAGAGAGATGTAGAGCTTTTCAGATACTAGATAGCAAAAAATCCAACTGAGTACTTGAATGCTATGACAATATCCAGCACAAGTACAGCTGAAGAATTCGAGCCCATGGAAAGGACAATCAAAAGTTTACCTGGAGACTTAGAGGCACTTACAATGTGTCATGAAAGTCTCTGTTAAGGTAGTACACAATGAAGGCTCAAAGTTCAGTGTTGGAATCGAGAAATTCTGTTCCTTTGGTCATAGAATCTATGCCACAAAGTTGAGTGATCATTACTGGAGCCAAGGCATGAAGCTCAAGATAAGAGCCAGAGATCCGCAAAAGAGAACAGTAGCCATGCACAGCAATAATGAGGACCTGAGCTTCTTTGATGATGATGATGATGGCTGAGATCATATCTGGAAAACCAGTGCTATCAGCTTCTCCATGAGAATCAACCTTTCCTTTCCCTCTAGTTCTCATTTAATGCTGTTTTAAACAATCCATCAATGGATATTCTGTCCAAAAACCATGATGACTTCATTCACTGGGTAAACCAAGTTGATCATTACTAAGCAGACCACAGCACCGGAGCAGTTCTTTAGATACTTAAAATCCAAACGGGCTTTATATCACTTCATATATTAAAGTGGTCATCTGGTATGCTTCACATAAACAACAGTGAGAAAACCTGAGGCTCATTCTAATGGAAATAATCAGGAACACAAACCTTCACAAAATAGTCTTAGAATCTGCTTTGACAAACCTCTCACTGGAACTATGTGATATATTTCTATCTGTGTGTCCTACACACTACATAACTGTGGGCATTTGAATGAAACTATAGTCAGGGTAATTGACCCTCTGATTATCCTCGGAAATTTTAAAAATCTTTTCTAAGGAATGTATAAAAAGAAACAGTTATGTACACCTATGTTTCCCTGCAGTACCCTGACAGCACTGAACACAGGAGAGAATGTCACGAGGCTGGTGGTATGCACATCATCACCTCAACAAGGCCGAGGGATCTCCAGATGCTGGAGGTAAAATAGTGAAATACTTTAACAACAAAAACAGTTGAAGTAAAATATACTGAATACCCTGAATATACCAAATCTAAACTAGGCCTGGTGGCTGGTGCATGGAGCCCATTACTTGAGACACTGAGGAAGGAGACTTGTTGAGACCACTCTGGTATATAGTGATCTCAAAGTCAGCCTGGACTTCATAGCAACATGCTTACTCAAAAAGATAAATATGTCAAATCTAATGAACATAATAGTGTGCTAGTGATTGCCTTGTGACATTAGCATGACTATCATGTGTATACTGACCTATAGTCTACTAGGAAAACCTAACTTACAGTCATTTCACAATAAAATATCACACCATTTACCAAATGGAGTACACTGGTGAGTATTTATTGTTCATCATTGATATTTGGTGGTGATGGAGCAGTGCTTGCTGCTGCTCTCTACAGAAAAATGACTATTGCTGCAGTAACAAGAATCTGCATGCATCACTGCAATATGTCCTTAACTCTTTGAGGAAGAGACCCACTAGAGGAAGCACTGAACTAATGAGAATTACTAATTTTAGTCTTTTGAATACTTTAAAAACTGACTTTGATAATAGTTGAACTACTAACCTACATTTCCACCAACAAGGTTAAATAGTTTCTTTACTCCTGCAGTCTCATGTATGTTCCTTAGATCTTGTGGTGATTTGTTTTTTCTGCAATGAGATGATGTCACTATTTGAATTTCTCTATTGTGCAAAAATGCTCAATAGTTCTTCAGGTATTTCTTGGCAAGTTGTACATATGCTGAAAAATGTGTGTTCCTTTCACGTTCCTATTGGTTTTACATGTTAGCTATCAGGGAGGAACAGGTAAAATTTCTCTCATTCTGTAGTTTATTTTGTCATTTTGTTTGACTTTTTTTGTGGCTTCTATGTTTATGCAGGAGGATTAAAATCTTACAAAGTACTTTTTGCTTGTTTTGTCACCCTATCTTATTTTCCACACAAAACAGCAGCAGTAGCATTAAGAAAAAGTGTTTTTAATACCTCTACATTCAGAACATGGAATGCCTGGCTCTTTCATGTTTCACTATGTTTTACTCTAATAGAGGCATATTTGAAAGTGCTGCACAAATCATGATAAAAAGTACATTTCCTGAGTGAAAGAAAAATCACAATTTGCAGTAGTGATTCTTTTGTTCTGTCATACATTTTTATTCTTGACCTCAACTTACTTGTTTCCTTAAACTTCAAATGCAGGGATAAAAACAACTGCTTCACACTCTGCTAAATCATCTAGCAGTTGCCACCCAAAGTCAGCTTCAAAGCCATGATCATCCCTTCTCATTCTCTCTTGATGCTGGGACTAAAGAAATCACCATTAGCCAATCTTTATAGGTAACTCCTTATCAATGCAATTATGTAAACACAAAATGATCAAAAATTGCATAATTTTTCTTAGTTTTTATAAAATAACGAGTAATATAAAAGTGACAATTCTACTATCTTCAATACAAGAATGAATGGGTTAAATTGACAACTGCCCCAATGATGCTCAAAATGGTCACTGCATAAACAAATGGGCTTCCCAAGTGATTCTCGGGGATAACTGCTAGGTGGCCAAGTGATAAAAGGTCAACTATTGATGTGTAATTGTGAGTATTAAAAAATGTTGATGCTGGGGAGGAAAGGGGGGAGATCTAAAGCATTAAGCTACATCTGCAGAACTTGAATATGTATTTTGAAACAGGGTCACACTAATTGTGTAGGTTAGACTCAAATTCCTCTTCCACTAATTTAAGCTCTGTTAGGTACTAGGATTAGAAGCATGCATCAACAAAACCAGCAACATTTACTTTCATGATGAAATGAGAAAATGCATGTACTCAGGATATATGTATTACAGATTCAGTCTTCTATTATTAGCTGTAATACAAACTCCAAATTTTCCCATTGATGGTAAGCAGAAATGTGCTATAGAGAATCTGGCCACATGCTGTAGTACATACAGGCTGACAATGTACTTTACAGGGTCTTTTACTTTATGAAGTATGTCAGGTACTTCAGGTACAAAATAGATATAGTTTTAGTGGTGATTACACAACAGGTGAGCAATGTATTCTTCCAAGGATAATTGAGACTTGGGCGAGCTGTCTTCACTGGATTAGGGGTATTTAATAAAATGCTCACTTGTGTTTTCATGACGCCACATTTGTTAAAAACATAATTCCATTGGAACCTAATCAGATTTTGAATTCAACAACACTGCATTAAACATTTTACAAATTACATGAATGTTAAAATGGACGTGAAAACCACAGGCCACAGGAAAACAACTGGGACTCATGGCCCATTGTATGTGTTTAAAGATAATTGGCACACACCACAAACATCAGGCACTGGTCCTTATAAATAAAGAGATATGTCATTGTATAAATTCACAATTCAGTAAAACAGAACACAATCTGAATCTTAATTTAGTAAATTTACTTTTTACTGTGTTGACAGCTCAAAATTTAGGTTTCCCTTCATGCCATTACTTCAGTGTTTTAGGAAAAAGCTGTAATAGTTACAAAATATATAATGCATTCACAGCATCAAGGAATAAAATAAAAGCATTTTCATCATACATCCAATAGCAATGTTTTCCCCCAAAACAACTCCACATTTAAGAAAAATTGATTTCAAAGTATGGTTACTCATAAATCATGCCAAATTTTATAATTTCTGGAGATATTAATATATTTTGTGATGTGCCATTGGAGACAAGTTATGGTTCTGTCAGTATGGGACAATCAGAAATTCACAGTAGAATGGTTTACTTTGGTACATTTGGGGAAACATTACTAGCAAAGTAAAGATGCAATATAAACATAACAGGTAAAATTCTGATGGATAGAAAAAGAACAGTTTAGTTAAATGACAAATATTGGCACGACTGAGAAAGAAAATCAGGCAACATAATGTATATGATATGATGTCCAGTGATGTTAGGGAATCAGCAGATATCTTGTCTCCTCACAACATGGAAAACATAACATTCATTAACGTGCAAGTTATATGAAAAGAACACAACTTTGTCAAAACCACATGATCCAAGCCTTATAAATGTATATCTTAATGCCAAATATTGAATCCACTTCAGAAACATCATGTATGAAAGAGAAAATGAAGCATGTGCATGAAAAGATTAAAGCAAATGCACTGTTAAAATTACAATTCACCAAAAAATGTGACTAGACTAATTAATAGTATTGCTCAATTTTATATCACAATGCTACAGAATTTGCATTGGGTTTCTTAGTGTCTCTTCTTCAGAGTATCTGTTCATGACATCGTGTATTATATAATTTGTTTTCATAAATAGGTTAGAAATTCTTCCCAGGTTTGAATCTCTATGTGTATATCAATCCTTTCTGTATTATTATTGGGAAAAACAGATCAAAACAAGACAACAAAACAAATTTGTATAAAATCATGATAAGAAAAAGACATATAAGACCACAATATTAGGTGATGTACAGTATATACTATGCTTTCTCTTGTTATTATCAATAGAATTGTCCACACTATCAAGCATTATATAGTTAACCATAACATTGCATAGCTAGTTTTATAAAAACAATTTTGAAGACATTGTAGGATGTGAAGGCAGTTAGTAATCAAACCTGGAATGGATATCTTTTATTTATTTATTTTTTGGTGCTGGGGATCAAACTCATGATCTCACACTTGCCAGGCAGGTGCTTAAGCCACTGATCTAAAGCCCCAGCCCCCCAATGCATGTCTTTTACATCTTGTCATCTTCAGATTAGTTGCCTCTACTCTTCGAATTGATACCAGCAAACATACCAAATGTGAATAAAATCAGTCAAGCCAAATAGCATTCAGACAAACCAGCTTCAAATAAGATCAGTCATAGTAAGAAAATGTAAGTAATATAGGGTTTCAGTTTAAGTTAATAGGAAATTAAGTATAGTTACCATGGTATAACCTGATATTTTTGGGTTATATGTCTGTGCCCTCAAATCTAATATGAGTAGACAGACCAGAACAAAATATAATCATACTAAGCATACCAATAAGACTACTGAAGCTTTTAAATCCTGATACACATTTAACAATGTCCTCTGCCTTCCTTTTTTTAGGCAATTCCTCCCCTTTCTCCTTCTCAGGATACTATTATTCACAGTTGAGAGTGATAATAGTTGTCCTGGTTTCTGTCTGTGTCCCCCAGGCCTCATACATTTGGATTGTGCATTTGTTATTCGTTCAGTGTCTGGTGCTTTGATTGATGGTGTCAGTGCTCCACCCCCAAAGGGGTAGAGCCAGGATGTGATGTAATGGCAGGAAGGTGTCTCTTTCTCTTTTCTGGTTTGAGCTTGCTGTTGGCAGCTGCCATGGACTGCGGTCCAGCAATGCCCGCCTGTGTTGGACCCGAGAGTAGACTGAAACCTCAAAGAACAGTCCGAAATAAACCTTTCCTTTCCCAACTTTGGGCTTCAGGTATTTTGTCTCAGCGATGAGACAAAAGTAGTTGTCTTAGTAGTTGTCTTAGTTACAAAAGAAACCAAGACAGTAGTCTAGTCTCATATGTTGAATTTCAGCATACATAAAGATAAAGACAGCTACTACAAAGAGAGTGAAAGACTTCTTGTAATTATTATCAACTTCCCCAAAATCAGTTCTTGAAGACCAAAAAAGCCTGCATTATCCTGTAATTATTTGATTAGTTCTATAATGTTCCATATATATTCAATGCTTGTGAAGATGGAAACAACTATTTGGAAGAAAACTAGGACAGTAAGATAGACAATGGACATCTCAGTGGACTTGCTTTGAAACCTGTGTTTCCTTAACTTGTTTCCTTATGAACTGTTCTGTTTTGTTTTGTCATGTTTCATCTTACCGTCTATAAAAAACAAGTTTGTAGAACATATAAGCATATTAATAAGTTTTTGTTGGATCTCTGAGGTAAACTGTTCGCTGTGTCATTATTTGAATATCACTTTGTATGCTTTAATTTTGTAACTTGAACAATTACTTCTAAGATGACAATATGTAATTAATCAACTAGTGATTTTTATTGTTTATTTTTCAGAAATTCTGTATTATTTCTACACTTTTTGGTTTTTTTCTTTAAATAGAAATAATTCATCAAAAATATGAAAATTAAGTTTTAAAGACAAAATATTAAGTACATAGACACTATCCATACTTGAAAGTGAAAAGCCCATTTCAGTTTACCATGTTTAATTACAAGATGCCATTTTGAAGCACAAAGACACTTTAAAAAATCTAAAGAGGTATAAGTGAAAACCATACAAAATGTGTACTTGAGTAGAGCTCCACTTCAGATTTGTCATTTCTGGAAAATTTGTGAAGAAATATTGACATCAAACTTCTGTATTGATTATTTCTTCAGGTCTACTTGTAATTTTTAAAGTAAACTTAGATCTACACTGTCTGAAGAGTGCTGCTTTTTCTATGTATTTAACAACAAACATGGATTGCGTATTTCTCACATTGTTAATACACATAGGATCCAGTGAGCTCTTTCAGATATGTAACAATGATCATGTGTGCTGAGAGTATTCCCATAGCACATAGGATTTATCTCTTGTGTGAGTCTCTTCATGTATTTCACTTAACAGTCTGGCTGCTAAAAGTGTCTCCACTTGCTTACATAGCCAGTGGTTCTTCCCAGTGTGAATTCTTTCATGTGTTTTGCAATGACTGTATGTGGTAAAAGCTTTGCCACATTGTTATATGCATAGGGTTTCTCTACAGTGTGGAGTCATTGATGTATTTTACAAAACGCATGTGTGATGAAAGCTTTCACACATTCTTCACATAAACAGGGTTTCTCAACAGTGTAAATTTTTTCATGTATTGGACAATGAGCATTTCTGCTGAAACCATTCCCACATTCATTACATATATAAGTTTTCTGCACAGTGTGAAAATTTTCATGCATTATGCAATATGTACTTGTGCTCAAAAAATTCTCATGATGCTTATATACACTGCCCTTAGCTTGAGTGTGAAGTTTCATGTCGCTTACAATGTCCGTGTCGGGTAAAAGCTTTCCCACACTGTTTACATATATATGGTTTCTTGCCAGTGTGAATTTTTTCATGTTCCTTACACTGTCCATGTGTGTTAAAACCTTTCCTACATTGCTTACATACATAGGGTTTCTCTCCAGTGTGAATTCTTTCATGTATTTTACAACTTGCCCGTGTGTTAAAAGCTTTCCCACATTGCTTACATACATAGGGTTTCTCTCCAGTGTGAATTATTTCATGTTGCTTATAATGTCCAGATTTGGTGACCCCTTTTCCACATTGCTGACATACATAGGATTTCTCTCCACTGCAATATTTTTCATGGATCTGAACATTGTGGTGTGTTTCTGCTTCTTTCACATTCACATTACCTTCTGCAGTACAAAGGAATACTTCTTTACACTGATTCCAAGATGTATGTCCATAGGATTTCCCTAGCTTGTCATTTCTGTAAAAAAAAAAAAGTCATATTTCAGATTGATAACCGTATTACTAACTTTTTATTGGAGATCTGAACAAAATTGTTTGCAGTCTCGCTGTTTGAATCCCCACTTCTTTGTTTCATGTTTGTATTTCATTAACTATTTCTATGAGCAGCATATGTAATCATTGTCTTTAGATTTCTTACTGTTTATTTTCACTTTGAAAGTGGTATCATTTCTACTTCTTTTGTTTTTTTAGTCTTTTCTTACATTAAATAAAAAAAGAAATATTCACAGTGAAATGGGTCTCAGTTTAATGACTGCATTAATGTCAATTTCTATTTTTAATGCCTGCTAAGAAATTCTGACCATGAAGTAACAGAATGTCCTTGTAAAACATGTTGAAAACAACCATTCCCAAAGACTGGTACACATTTTGAAATCTTAATATTTGGTACCTTTTGAAATGCAGAATCTTTAGCTTCACTTTGGGCATGGGTACACATGTGTATCACATACAGATCATTCTGATATGTTTCCCCATCACAATCTCCCTTCTGTCCTTAACCTGTAGTTCCCTTTTCCATATGGTCAGTCTTACTTTTCTCTATTAACTCTTTCATTTCATTCCACAATCTATATTTTGGTTTCTCATCTAAAAGGAACCCTGTGACCTTTTAGGTTTTATAGCTGAGCTATTTCACCGAATTGATGGGACAAAGAACCACATATTTCTTATGGCAAATGACAATATATTATTTATTTTTTGACATTATATAACACATTTTTTTCTTTTCAATGCTGGGAATGAACAACAGCTATTAGCATAAAATCTATAGCTTTTAAAATATGTTTTAAGAGATTTTCAGTGATCATTAAGCTGTCAAGTTTGAACTTGAATTTGCCATTCTGCAAAATCTGATTCCTAGGGGCTGGGGGTTTAGCTCAGCGGCATAAGCACCTGCCTTGCAAGCAGGCGGTCATGAGTTCGATCCCCGGTACCGATAAAAATGAAAAAGACAAAATAAAAATAGAAAAAAATTCTAAAATAAAAAAAAAATCTGATTCTTAGTGTGCTGGATTTACAAGAATGCACAATCACAGAGAGTCTATTAACATTTTCCTTCTCCACAAATCCAGTGATAGATAGCTCAGCTTGTTCAAGGCTTGATCTATTATAACTTGATCTGTTTTGTATATGAGTAAGCATGTTTCAGTATTTTATGTGCATTTTGAATTTTTAAAAATATATCCTGGACAAATATATCCAGGAAGGTATCAATTTTTAGAGACAAGTGCACACTGATATTCAGAATGAGCGCACTTAACATTCTACAAGCCTTCTAAGAATTTTAGTCAGAATGGCTGATTCTTTAGAGCATGGCTTGGAAACACAAGCACTTCCTTTTATTTCAAATTCTATTGCAATCTTAGCAATTTTTAGATGATGAATGTGTTGTATTCACATGTATATATGGGTAGAAAAACTGGAGGCAGAATGTCATAAATCAAAGTGTATGCCTTTTGTACACATCTATATGCAATGTCATACATTTTCTTGATTTAATCCACTCATTATACATACCCTAGCTTATGCATCTTCAGAGAATATTACTGACAATAAATACAATGGTGCCTCATTTATTTGGGGGTATTTTTCTGCTGACTCATGAACTACTCAGGAACATTCCTTCTCCTTATGAGTGCGAATTACCTTAAGTATCTCCAGTAAATTTTGCATTCTTTTTCAGCTTCCTGGATATCCCCAAGTCTTCCTGAATTGTAGACATAGAAATACCAGCACTCATTAGAATAATATATGCAAATTAATAGATTTTGTTTAGAGTTGTGATATAATGTGTCCAGGTCTGAGCTATTTTTAAAAATATTTTCACATTGCTTTTAATGAAACAGAACTGATGAGTGACATACAACATTCTGACAGCATGAGTGACAAAAGTATTTTGTCCTTACTTATTGCAGTCATGTTCCTAAAGGTTTCGCCCATCACATTTCTGTAGAGGTTCTTTTGGGATGGACTCAGCAAAGTCCATTCCTCATTGCTGAAGTTCACGACCACATCCTCAAAGGTCACCACCTCCTAAAGGATCATACATATATTTCTCACACGAAGGTTGAGACACCAGGTTTGGGATATCATAAATTGTCTCCTACAAATCTGAATCAAAAGCAAAGTGTGGTGGTATATATCTAAAATGCCAGGACTCAAAAGGCTGAGGCAGGATGGTTTCAGTGAGTTCAGGGCAATTTTAGGCTCCATAGGATGTTCAAATCCAGCTGATATACATATAGAAAGCTTGTCTCAATAAAACAAAACTAAACTAAACATATACAACCAAACAAAACAGCTGAATGAAGACTGATTTCTTCAAATTTAAATCCATGTCTTGGTCATTAATTTTGTGTATATACACATTTTTGAAGACAGCAAATTTGATGATAGATTGCAGCTCACTGCTAATGTAACAGTTAAATAGGAGCATTGATTCTTGTGCTGAGTCACTGCAATATTCACTGTGTACTGTCTGTAATGCAGAGCTCACAGTGAGAAGCCTGCAGGACCAGCATCCACAAAGCACAGAGGCAGATAAATATCCCATCAATCAACTCTGAAGCCATGCAAGCACCTCCCTTCCCTGGTAAGTGGTGGTGGTGTGGCAGGCTGTGGCCCATCCAGGGGGCAAACCAGCAGCAGCTCCTGAGATCCATGCCAGGCTGGAATTTAGGACCCTTGGAAGGCAAGCAAGCATCACTTCTCCCTTGTAAGTGGTTGCGGTCTGGCAGAATGCGACCTTTCCAGGGGGAGAACCAGCAGCAGCTCCTGATATCCACGCGATGTGGGAACTTAGGACGCTGTGAAACCAAACGACCAGCCTGTCTCCCTACTAAGCAGTAGTGAAGCTACTGATGCACGGCCTACAATCAAAAATCCCACTTCCCTACCCTTCTTCTCCTGTTACCCCCAATTAGCAGATGGGAACCAGAAATCTGAGCATCTCCTGGGAAGCAGACGATAACAAATAAGGGGGACTTCCTTCTCCTATCTCTTTGAAGACAAATATTTTTATTACTGTTTTGCTCTATTCTGATTAATGGTATTGCTATATTCAATATTCTGTTTTTATAGGTACTACAATGTTCTGTATTTCATCTCATTTTGATATACCTGTTTGAAAGAACAACTATTATAAAGATAATAAATTATGCTGTGATACCTATTACTGTTATCACAGTAACCTGTTGTGAAGTTGTGTACCAATTTCACTGTTTGATCTTAGTTGACCTTATTCTGCCTTGTTTTGTTGTATTTTAACACTTTCAAAATTTAAAAAAAGAAAAAAAAATCTCTTCAATCACTTTGATAGGCTGCAGATAATGTTTCTTTAAATCTCATTTAGGCCAGTGAGTACTTTGTTCTTAATATACTTCAGCAGCATTTTGAAACATGAGTTTGGTTTCATAGAACAAAACATAAATAACATCCAATATGGTACACAAATAATAACTCAAATGTTAGTGGAAAATGCTGTTTTAAAAAAATAAGCATATAAAATGGATCCAGGCCAAGCTGTAATTTATAGCTCACTGTCACCAAGCATTCACTTTCAATTCAGATATAAGGAATATATCTTGTGAGGCTGGTGAAGGACTTCTTCATCGAATTTGGGGCTATCCTATGTTAAATTGCTGTCTAAAATAGAGAAACCCTGATTGTGACACCCTACAAACAAAGTGAAACTTGAAAAGAGATTGCATAAGACACCTTTGGTTTCTTTTTAAAAATTATATGCATACAATATGGAAAAATTCCAACAATATTCAACACTTTCTGAGAAACAATGTGGATCTCTTCCATACAACAAAGCAAACACTTTCATAGTTGGGTATTTAGCTCAGTGGCATGAATGCCTGCCTGGAAAGCATAGGTCATGAGTTCGATCCTTGGTACAAAAAAAATTCACATTTTACCTTCATGACACTGGGGCATAATTAGAGATAATCAAAATTAGATCTCAAGTATGGAACACCAAATTCATGGGTTGACAAGGATGTGAAATACTGATTGTTGCCAGAGCTGGTGTTGATCACCTCAAGGAAGCAATCAGAACCCAACTTTAACTTCACACTTACTCTAAGAACTATGTGAATTTCAGTGAAGACCCTCTCTGTTGTATGTCCTGCTATTGGCTTCCTGCATTCTGTCAGTCACTTGCACATTCTTTCCACACTTCTCTGATCCATTCTCAGCAGGAAAACCTTCATGCCTAACTATTGATATCACTGCAAAATTTCTGTTTAGAGCTTCTGCTTTACACCACTTCATAAATTCCATTGCAAAGCATTTCCATTTTTAAACTGTCTATGAACAACCAAGACACTAAATCAGCTCTTAATTCAGAGATGACACCCCTATTCCTTTCCATTCAGAAGGACATCACGTGTATATGTGCATGCAAATGCCTGAATTTCAGCATTTTTCGATGAGAATTTAACAGGTAGCCCTTTCAGGAATTTGTCCTTCAAAAATTTTTACCCTGTCCTTGATAACACTTTCATATTTGCTTCATTTTTCTCAGACTTCAAAACTCTAGGACTGTGCTCTAGTCAGTGAGCAAGTGTGCCACCTAAATAATTATTTTCAGAAATTATTTTTCACTGTTCTGTATAATACACAGGAATTCACTAGTGGTTTGGGGAGCCTTTTTCCACTGAGGCACACTACTACACATCTCTGAATTCTCAGGACCTTTGTGACTACCTGTCATGTGGATGGAAATATGAGAACATACTATAAATTGAGGAGATCAAAAAGCTCAAGTTTAAGATGAGTCATTGTGGCTATGAGGCCCTGCATTACAGACATTAATAAAGTCTGGACATTCTAGATTTGCTACTCTGAGGAAAGAGAGTATAGACCTAGCTCATTACTGCTCTACAAGCTACAAATCATCATAGTCAGGGTCTTCCCAAGATTCTTCCAATGCCTAAGATGGTGCAGTTTCCAGGCCAGCAGTGAATTTCAAAGATGATACTTGAGTTTGCTGCTGTCATAGTAAAGCCAGTGTTCTGGGGACCCCAAATCACCCTTGCCAACAGCTAGAAGCAAAAGGGACAGTGAAAGACCCATGGGCAATGCTGGAGGAACTCAGGAACTGAAGCTCACTAAATACCTGAGGCTCCAGACACCAGAACTACTCCTAAGTACTTGTAACTGGTTTCACCAAATCCACCCTATCTCTGGGCTACCATCCACAACCTCACCAATCCATGGCTCCAGGATCCCTCAGGTTCTTTGCTAATCAGGCCACAGGACATCAAATGTACTAAATGAGATGCAGCAAGGGTTTTGCTACCAGTATGGTACTCAGAAAAGGTAAATCATGCTGAGACACTGGAAGAGACAGAAGTCAGAGCCAGCAATGGCCTGAAAAGTGTACAGTTCATATAGCCTGCCCCTTCATCACTGATTGACCCCTGATCTACTGCTCTCCTTCTGAGTCAAGAATCAACAGGGAATGAAACCCCTCCCTGCAAGAGAGGATCTCAAATGATAGACTGTAGTGCAGAGACTTCTGGAGCTGCCATTCTTCTACAGTGGTGAACTCAGCTTGACCAGAGGAGTGTTTGTTCTGAGGAGCTTAACTCAGGCTTTTAATTTTCAAATCCATTTTATTTCAGTGAAAAAAGAACACATCAACTAAAATTAAATTTCAAAACATGTCAATCAGGGGGCAACACTGGTGTATACATTGCACACTGTAATCGCCAGATCATTCACCCAAAGCACAAGACATCTGTAATCAATTATCCAAACAGTACTGTTACAGGCACCTGAGTTATTTAAATAGTATTGGCATGAGGCAGAACTAGGTCCTCCAAGGAGTCCAGGCAGGAGACCAGATACCTTGCAACTATGGGAAGACTAACACCTCCTGTTATGGGCCAAGTCTCCAGACAAATGATAAGCAAATGAAAAGCTAAAGACTGATATTCTAAATAGTCCCATAGCACTCTGAGGAGGTGAGGAGTCACCATTCAAAGAAAAGTATGCTTATCCTAAGGAATGATATTTTAAATATTTCCTATCTTCCTGATGAACTCAGGAGTCACCCTCCCAAAACCCTAAGGGAAAAGTCACTGCTGCCTAAGAATGCCTACTTTCTATGTGACTCCATTCCTCCTTTGTTCCCAATTTAATCAACTTTACATGAACTTACAATCTTATTGGCTACCATAGCTCTGTCCCATCTTATGCCCCTCTGCATTGTGAGTTCCAATTTTTCCCCACCTTAAACTGATCTCACCACATGATTTTACTCTATAAAGTTCCCTAGGAGGACAGTGTTTGGCATCGCGCTCAGGACCCCTTCTCTCTCTCTCAGGTAGCTTTCTTTCTCTCAATAAGTATATTGTGCTTTTAATTTCTGTTGTTCCTAAAATTCATTCTTTGACTTTAGAGAACACAAACTCATACCAAACATATTAGACCGGGAGATTCATTACTCTATAGCAATATCATTATAAATTTTTCTCTTTCCTGAAGTCAGATAAATCGGTAGTAGTTTGTATTCTACAATGTTGGTCTCCCCTTTCCAGGGATGCTTGCACTGAAGGGCTTTATCCCTGCCTTTAAGTGCTACTTTTGTTTTCTGAAAGTGAAATGATCTGTAATTTTGGTAATGGTATCTACAATGCATTAAGGAAATGACTAACAGTATTTCTAATGAATGGTTTACTACCAGCCATAGAGGAAGACAGGTGGCAAAAATTCGTTGTTTTGATTTGTTCCTTGAAACTGAAGGATGTCTTTGAAAGAGTTTTGCCTTAGAAACAATTACAGAACCTCATGGTGGTAGTTCAAGGTGGAAGAAGGCAAAATCAGGGATGCTTACTCATATGGCCACTTCCTCTTTTTTCCTTGATTACAACTTCCTGTTTCTTTTCCAGGGCCCTAAAGAAAATCCCCATCAGCTCCTTGCATGACATCAATGTCCTCTCCAAGCACCACATCCACTCAAAAGCCACATATACCTCTGTTGTACTCTAGAAAAATAGCTTCATTATTTTTGTATCATAGCAATTATCGTAACTTGGCCTTACTGTATATGTTTTTTTCCCTTCCCCTTCTGGATGACCTAATTAGTATGTTAATCAATGCTCTCCTCTGTAAAGAATTGTAAAATCTTACCTCATTGATATGTTAACCATTATTGCCCTCTATACATAACAGACGTGATGCTAAGATAAGCTAACAGAAGTTGTTAATCACTGCTAGACCTCTAATCTCTGCTGCGGAATACAGGATTTCTTCTTATCTAAACTTGCTTCTTTACAGGAAAACTTGCTTGTTACCTGAATCTTGCTCTTCCCATGAAATGTAATGCACCATGTTTCTGTTTTGTAGTAAGCCCCACCCCATCCCCCTCCTTGCATTTTGTGACAAGCAGCTGTTTGTGGATATACAAGATAAAAGCCCTGACTTTTAGCTGTCAGGTGCCCAGTCTCCAAATTGGCTCCCAGAGACTCCTTGCCAGGTCTGGCCTAAAACAAAACCTTTGCCCCTAAATTTTAATTTCTTGCTTCCTTGGATTTTACTCTGGGGTCCATGTTATCACAACCACATAACCCCATAGTTAGTCGGGGGGGAGCGGAGCCAAACACTTGGTGGCTGTTGGCTACTCTCCACATTCTTTAAATAAAAGGACACTTTTGCATTTCTTATATTCTGCTTCTCTATTATGCTAATTTAGCTCCTCAGTAACCTCAGTAATCTAACTTTAACCTTAACCTATCTCACTGTTGTAACATAGTTCTAACCAATGTGCCCCCTTCCTGTTCCATATGTGCCATTTCAATAGAGAATAAAATTCCATCTCCAGTAAAGACTTAGTTTCAGTTTCTTGTAATTCCCTCCCCTTCAGCCTATCTGCAATAAAATGTACTGTCCCTAAGAAATGTTTAACTACAAGCAAGTTACCAAACTGGGTCAAAGTTCGCAACATTCCTGTGGTTTTCAGCTTTAAAACCCAACCTTTTTAGCTGTAAGGCACACAGTCTCCAAATTGGCTCCCTGAGATTGCATCACCAGGCCTGGCCTGAAATAAAGCCTTTGCTCCCAAATTTTAATTTCTTGCTTCCTTGGGTTTTATGCTGGGGTCTGAGCTATCATACTCACCACATGATTTTATTTTATAAAATCAGAGTCCTTTGGCTACCGGCTCAGAATCCCTCCTGTTTCT